CTCCTCTACTATAGAACTAGACAGGCAAACCACTAGAACACAGACCCAAATACACAGTAATTCCAAATTCAACAAAAAAGGGGCATTTTAAATCAGCAGCAACAAAATAAAAACAAAACACCATGCACACACACACCAGTTATTCAATATATTCAAAAACTGGTGTTGAGAAAATTGGCTAGGTATTTTGGAGAGAGGAAAAAGCTAGTCCATTTGCAACAAAATCCCTGACATCAAAATAAAATTCCAGAGGGGTCAAAGATTTAAAAGCAAGAAAGGAAACAAAAACAAAAACAATCCCCAAAAACCTAAATATATTGCTTTAATCATGAAGTGAATAAGCTCTTCTAAGCATGAAGCTAAATTCAGAATCTACAAAGCCACAGACTCACAAAATTGTGACTATATACAAACTATACTATTATATTCATGCTCTTTTAGCATGCTCTTTTAAACCATGGCTTGTTGGGAAAATAGATGATTCCAGATACGGGGTAGGAAATATACAAAATGAACCTGAAACATCTTGCCATACCAGGAAGTTATCAAAGACTACTAAAACTATCAAAAGGACTCCAGATCCTTGAAGAGAGTTCCGCTGGTCAAAGATAGGACATTTTGAGCATTATTAGGGCTAATAACTGTAGTAGATCAAAACACATAAAAGAGTGATTATTCTATTACACTAAGTGAAATAAGGCATAAAAAAGACAAATATTGTATGATCTCGCTTATATGTGTAATCTAAAAAAGCCAATCTCATAGAAAAAGAGTAGAAAAATGGTTACCAGAAACTGAGGGAAAGGGGAGAGATAGGGAAACAAATATTGTTCAAAGGATACAAAGTCTCAGACTGGAGGAATCAAGTTTTGTGATCTATTGCATTGCATGGTGACAACAGTTAATAATAATGTATTGTGTGTTTCAAAATTGCTAAAAAGGACTATTTTTAGTATTCTTACCACAAAAAAATAAGTTGGTAAGGTGATGGTTATTTTAATAAGCTTGACTGAATCTCCAATGTGTACAAAGACTAAAACATTACATTATAACCATAAATATACACAATTATTATTTATCAATTTAAACAGAATGTGTTTCCATAAGTTAATAATACTTTAAAAATTAAAGTTATTTTTGGCAGATGCCAGGGAACCAGCTGTATTTTGAAAATAGGTAAATAAACTCCCCAATAAACCTTCCCTCTATGAATTATAGTAAAATGTAATGCAGACAACATCTCTTTATAGAAATATTCTAGCTAATAAATAATAATAATTAAAATATCGCTTTGCAACCCCAATAAATCACAGGATCTAAGAATTGAACAGCAAGGCTGCTAACCTCACAAAAGGAGAATATGAGACACTGCCTCCTGGTGGAAGCATACACCACCACTGATTAAATAGTGTTGCCTACACAAACAAAGCTGAATCTAAGCCCCTACAGTCAATTACCAATTCTTGGGAAATGCAGTGTATAAGTCAAAGAAACACCTTAAATCACACCATATGAAAACCATCAACAAAATCCAAACTTTGGAAAAATCTACAGTAGACAAATGATCCAATTTCATCAACAAATATTTTGCAAAGGGAAAACAAGAGCAAGATAGGGGGAAGAACCTACAGATTCAAAAAAAACTTAAAAGACATATCAAATGAAACAAAACAATACAATTAAAGATGCACACTGGGTCAGAACAGTACTTACTCTTACGAAGACTGTAATTGGGAGAAAGACTTGAACAGCTTCTGGGTATGGCTGGCAAGGTTCTATCTCCTGACCTGGGTAATGGCTGTAAACATGTGTGCTTTAAGTAATTAATGTAAACATTTGCTTATGAGATTTTCCATTTATATTTTAATCATAAAAACTTTTAATGAAATGCTTATATACATATATATTCTTAACCTACACATTTGACTTTCCATTTTTAAATCTGATCACACCCTCCCAAAGTTAATATATATCAAATCTGACCACCAGACATCTCTCTGTAGAAGAAGGATCTCCACAAATTGCATGCTCAAGCACTGCACCTTACACTTTTCTGAATGTTAAAGAAAGCAAAAGCAAAACTTACCATTTGCCAGCTCCAAACACTGGGAAAACCAACTGCATCATAGATACAGGCTTAAGTCCTCGTGAATTAATACATAAAAAGATTAATGTCCTTTAGAAAAATGAATAAAGAACACGAACGGGTAATTCACAGAAAAAATACAAATTACCAAAAGGGAGGTAAATGATAACCCCTCAATAATTAAAACAGACTACGAGTGATGATACCCTCCACAGAGGGGTCCCCAATCCCCAGGCCATGGACCAGTAACGGTGGCCTGGTAAGAACCAAGCCACACAGCAGAAGTTGAGCAGCAGGCAAGCGAGCATTACCACCTGAGCTCCACCTTCTGTCAGATCAGCGGCCACATTAGATTCTCATAGGAACTCAAACCCTATTGTGCACCAAATCTAACTAATGTTTGATGATTGAGGTGGAGCAGTTTCATCCTGAAACCACCTCGACCCCCTGGTCTGTGGAAAAATTGCCACAAAACTGGTCCCTGGTGCCAAAAAGGTTGGGGACCACTGCTCTACAGTATTGGCTAAGGTATAGGAAAACCAGCATTCACCTTATTGTCAAGAGCTTAAGTTACCATAAATCTTAGAAATCAATTTGGCTATTTATCTTACATTTTCAAGGTATATTATTTGAGCAAATCCATTTCTCTTAAATCCTTCTAGAGAAATGAGAAATAAAGACATAAAAAAGTATGCTACAATACTTTTTTTGGAGAATCATCTAAATGTCCATTAATGGGAGATTTAACTAAGTATGCTACAATACTTTTTTATGAGAATCATCTAAATGTCCATTAATGGAAGATTTAACTAAGCTATACAACAACGCCATTCAAAAGAATGACGTGTACTTACCCTGAAATCTCTCCACAACGTAAGCACAAAAAGTAAAATGCACATCAGTGTATAATGATACTAATGGGAACCATACTACACCAACTGTTCTATCAGGAGTAAATATCTGTATAATTCTAACATTGGGCTAAGAAAGTATGACCACCAGTTTAACCAAACCATGTTACCGTCCATACCCCTTTGAAGGAGAGCCTGCAAGGTCATGAACATTAATACCACCACTTTACTGATGCTGTTACAGAATGTATGACACTTGTGCAGAATTTACAACAGTCAAGCATATCATCCTGGGACCCAATGGGATGAGATGAATTGGAACTACGTCAGTTTGTCGGTCATCTTAATCCAGACAAAAGTGAAATGGAGCAGTATTATCTCACAATATATAAGTTAATAAAAGATAGAGAAGCCACAGAGTTGGAAAGTAAACTTCATAAATACCTCACATAAACTTGCGACTGCTGGGTGGGAGTAGCCAGGCCTGGCAGCCATGGACCCTTGACAGTATCAGGCTGGGTGTCACTACTTACTGGTCCCATGTGCCACTGAACCAATCAGGCCCTAGCCCCTTTTTCTTTCTTTTGGGAGATGACCAAATTCAAGGGTTCACTACACTCAGAGTATTGTACTTATCTGTTCACGAACAGTAAGAAGGGTTGAGTGGTGGAACGAGTCAGAGATCATTGATCGACCTTGCTTCAGGAGGCCAGGGACTTTACTGGTGATTAGACAATTCTGCTTTCTTTTGAGAATATACACAATTAGTCAACTTTTTCATCCCCAAAAGATAATTTATGTAAGTTATACCACGATATTAGAATAGAGATGTTCTTTAATCTTTTTATTTTGCAACACCATGAGAGTATTTTGCATGCCTGTTCTGTCTCTGTTAGGGAAAGGAAGCCCCCTCCCAGTGCCCATGTTAAGAAAGGAACAATTGTAGCTGAATGCCATCACTGTTCTTCAATCGCCTCAGGATTAAAAGCTCGTACAGTCAGTAGATAATGTGACAATGAGCAAATTCTCCTCTCTGAGCTTGTTCTTCACAAAGTGAAGATAGTAACTGGAATTTGGGGAGGTCAAAATGAGATATAAAATAGCATGTGCTTATTAAGCTTCTGTTAGCACACTGTGCCAATCAGGTTATTTTAAGGAACACTCAATCAATTACAAAACATACGAAGCCACCAAAAAAGAAACAGCAACTACTAATTCTCTGCACAGTAGATATCTACGTAAAGGCTTTTAATCAAACTGGCATAAACCCATGGAAGTACTGCTCTTAACATAGACAATATTTATTTCCAGGGAGTCACATCATTCCTGCTTTCAAGAGGACTGAAAGCAACAATATTCCACAGGACAAAGAGTTCTTGATAACACCACTACTACCACCCCCAGATTTTACTACACTTCCTCTCCTCTGGATATGGAAACATACTGAAGTTGGGGCCACACACAGGTAGAGCTAAGTGTGTACTCTGGTCTAGAACAAACACTGACAGAAGTTCAGGCGAGGCCCTTTTCCCCCTTGCTTGGGAATACTGATGCTGCTGATGAAGTGAATACCTCAGAAATCTATTACCTCAGCTCTAACATCGTCTCAAGTGAAAAACAGGAACTTTTCACTCGATAAGAAATTCCAGTAAACTGATATCAGTTTCCCAATTCTACTTTATGGGAAGAAACTTTAAGTTAATAATTCCTACATGTAGTTACCACCAGCAGTGTCATTTTTGAAGGTAAAGAAGGTTATTTCAACGGATAGAAAAATGTCTTTTTTCCATGCATTAAAACTAGGGCCTTAACCAGCACCGTTTTTGCAAATACAGTTTTATTGGAACACAGCTTAACCAATTGATTTGTATTATCTGTAACAGTTTTCATTCAGTAAAGTTCACTAGTTGCAACTGACACAGCAGGTGGCTCACAAAGCCTAAAATATCTACTATCTGGCCCTTTAAGAAACCCAACCCCTGCATTAAAATATTACAATGCTATAGTAAGTAAAATTTTAAGAAAACTAAATGAGAATACAAAAATACAAATGACATGCTTGCTCTGATTCAGGCACTTTCAAGATCATAGTTTATTTATTACTTCAGATAAAAAGATAGTATACATATTAGGGAATCCCTTAAAATTCAACTCTAGAGTTATACACCATCTAGTACTTTTGCAATGAATGTTAACAACAACAACAAAAAAATCTCTAAACACCTGAAAGCCCCACTATTAACATGGACTATGGTAATAAAAAAATTTGACATTTAATTTGTTCAATATATAGTATTTACATTATGAAATCAATGGTGATGATACAATAAACAGTGATAAAGAAATAGTAAAAATAAACTTTAAAAAGCAAAGGTTTATAGTCTGACAATGCTAATTATCATAATTGTATATAAAATATTAAAACATAGCAGAGCTTTCTGTTACAAAATTCTTAATCCTCTGGGCTGTAATCATTACTTGCTACCAATTTACATGCAACATCTGCTAGGACTGACATTTGATTTTTTTCCCCAAGAACGTGTGAGTAGATAAATGACATTTCAGAGCAGACATTAATTTACCTGTAGACAGAAAAAGAAACTCAAGATTGGTACTGGTCACAAGCCTCTTCCCAATAGAAATTATAAAAACAGTAAGATAAAATTTTAAAAAAATCTAAAAAGAGGATGCATAGGCAAAGAGTACCATAAATGGCACAGCTCAAAAATTCCCAGGACCAATCAGACACACATCTTTTCTCTCTCCTTCAGTGATGACAGGTCAATTTCTCCATCAAATAACCATGACTGAAGCAAGTGAGGGGCACCAGGTGTACAACCAATTAAATCTTGCAAAATACTAAGATGGGAGGAGGGGTGGGCAGAAGAAGGGGCAATTTATATATAATTCAAACTATATACAGCATAAATGGAATGCAGCCCATCCCAGACTGGCTCTGTGAAACAACTGGACCTTTATAGTTAAAATTATAACAAGTGTAATAATACAATAGATTTACATGGGAAGCAAAATCCAAGGGGCATTTTATATTAAGTATTTACTGTGCTGTTTCAATTTAAAAATAATTTTGCTAAGTATACATCTCAACTGAAGTCTATGTATAAAACGTCCTAATAGATACAGATATTTACCTTTGGTGAGTTGAAGGCCTTTTTGTGACTTCTGTCTGAACTGTAGGCAGAATGCTAGATGTACATGCACATATGGAGAAACTCAAGCTGAGGTCATCCAAAAGCTGTGCATATGAGGCTGGAGGTACTTTGAAAGTCAAAGTAGACCAGAAACCCAAAACAGGTAACAGTGAGGATGGCAAAAGGGAATGGAATGCCAATATGGCAGTAAAACTTTTTTTAAAAACAGAAAGAGGAAGGCCTCTCGTACCAGCAGAATCCTGTATACATACAAAAAAGAAAAAGCCACCCACCATTTTGTAAAACAGAAGCCAATTATAGTGTGGGAAAGTACAAATTACAGAAAACCAGAAGTCAACAGAAGAAAAACTACTGGTTTACTTGAGAGAAAGGAGAATGGTTCAACCCAAGCAGAGTTACTTGGTGAATGCTGCCACCACCGCCCACAGAACCTCATTGGTGTTGGCCTTCAGACATTCCACCTCGGGGTCTAAGTCGAGAAGCTGCCGCACTCTCTTGGTAGCCAAATCATACTGCTCGTCCAGAAGAGGAGCAAAAGCATTCTCCAGGACGTCCGAGGCATGAGCCAGGTAAATGAGGGCCAGCAAGCGCCTGTCCATGCGGTGAGGGTCATTCACCCATTTGTCAAGAACAGCTTCCTGTACTTTCTTGATGAGGCGCTGCTTAATGTTGTTGTTGGTGAGGGGATGTGTTGTCATGTCAAAAAGTAGGAAGTTCTGTTTCTCTGTTGTCAATACACCCTTTTCCACCAGGTTTTTAGCTAATCGTTCCCGTACATTTCTTAACTGATAATGCAATTTTAATGGATTCCATGTCTCACCTAAACAAAAGATTTCAGAAGTTAGAAATGATGAGTATTATCTGCTAATTTTGCAAAAATTTTGTACTATTAAAATAAACAGTAAAATCTGATTTTGCCCCAAGAGAAACAGAAGAAAATCTGCCATGTTTTTCTCCCTAACTAGACCATGAATCCCTTAAGCCCAGCCAGACCTTTGGATTCTAAGCACCCAGCACATCCTCAGCCACAAGAGTCACTCAGACGACTAAACTGCAAGCAGTCTTCAGACCAGAGTCAGTCACCCTTAGTCTTATGTGGAAATGAGCCAAATATGATGTCTGAGCTTCCTTCTAGCTGCTGTCAAAAAGCAGCCAATAGCCAAATAAGAAGTTTTCTATTAAACACCAGTCTGCAACTAACAGACCTCCCAAAAAAAGCTTCCTGATTGTTATTCCTGAAACTGCTACATATATACAGCCTATAGAGGTAAGAAAGCCTGTTCAGGCCATGCTATTATTAGATGACAATATAAAGCTAATTCTGGAAGGACACAAATTTTCACAATTTTAACCTTGCCATCTATACACATTTCCTTTTGAGAGAGAAATATTTAAAATAAAACCAAATGATTTTTCACTAAAGTGGGTTCTTCTTTATAGAAAATACATCAAAATATTAATCTTACTTATCTTTGGGATTATGTGTGCTAAACTTTTTTTGTGCTTTCTGCATTTTCCAAATGATCTTCAATGAACATGCAACTATTTTTATACTTAAAAAAACTATAATATTTTTCTAAATTAGAACATGTTAAAGATCAACCACAGGCATCTTTTTTAAATGCAAATGTTGTAAGGTCGAGATTTTGTAATACTGAGAGAAAACCTTCAACCACACTGTCCATTACAGGAGCCATTACCCACATAGAGCTATTTAAATTAATTTAAATATTCAGCTCTTCAGCGGCACTAGACACATTTCACATATATAATAGTGACACATGGCCAGTGGCTAGACACCACAGGAATAGAACATTTTCATCATCAAAGAAAGTTCTAGCGGACTATCTTAAAATTTTAAGCTGCTATCTTAAAATATATTACCATTCAACTGGACACAGACATAATTATTTTCCTATACTTAACACTAAAGAACACAGGCCTATGATGAAGTAATCATTCCTAAAACTGCCCTCTCACTGTAATTAGAAATCTGGATAAAATATATGAAAAAACTGTTTTCAGACACTAGTCAAAAGCAGCCCAGAACTGTGACACATGAGTGCAGCCTATGTGAGCCAGAAAACCGCCTAAGCTTACCACCTAGAGGCACGTCCCAGGCAGCAGAGCAGGCAGGAAGACCCCAAGCGGAGCATAACAGTTACATCACGTTAAGGTAGCAGAGATCAGAGTTCAGGGTAGCTAAGGCAGCTGCAATGTGCAAAGCAGACTACTGGAGAAGGGGGACCTACGCAGATAAAGAGGTCTAGAAATCAGCAAGGTGTTCCTTGAGTCTTTGGCTGAAAGCTAAGCTACACGTGTTAGGGAGAGAAATTCCACAAAGCTAGGCAAAGAACAACTACCAGAAAGTGAACGATTTCAAGAGTTCAGTAGAGCTGGGAAAAATGTGACTGCCAACTAGCCAGAGAGCAAAGGCCTCAGTAAAAACCAAGGACATTCAGAAGGAATACTAGAAAATCCGCACCTTAGTTGTAGGACTAAACCTGTCCTAGAGTATAGACCACCCTAGACCTGCTCTAATAAAGATTAAAAGTGAACAGGCATGGTAGCTCAAGCCTGTAATCCCAGCACTGTGGGTGGCCCAGGCAGGTGGACCACCTGAGGTCAGGAGTTTGAGACCAGCCTGGCCAACATGGTGAAACCCCATCTCTTCTAAAACTACAAAAAATTAGCCAAGCATCATGGCAGGTGCCTGTAATCTCAGCTACTTGGATGGGTGAGGCAGGAGAATCACTTAAACCCGCAAGGCAGAGGTTGCAATGAGCCGAGACTGTGCCACTGCACTCCAGCCTAGTCAACAAGAGTGAAACTCCATCTCAAAATCTAAAAACAAAAGCAAAAAGATTAAACGCAAGCTGATCCACAAGTAACTTAGTTGCTTATCAAGACAAAATTCAACACTCTTTAAAGAAAGACCATAAAATTCATCACTTAACATTCACAGTGTCCAGCATCCAAGTCAAAACAAAAAAATCACCAAACTTGCAAAGCAGCAAAACAGTGACCTAAAACTAGGAGTAAGGGGGAAGTCAACAGAAACAGTCCCAGTCTAGGCAACATGGTAAAACTCTGTCTCTACAAAAATATACAAGTTAGCCGGGGCCAGGCGTTGAGGGGGGTATGCTTGTAATCCCAGCACTTTGGGAGGCCAAGGTGAGCAGATCACTTGAGATTAGGAGTTCAAGGCCAGCCTGGCCAACAAGGTGAAACCCCGCCTCTACTAAAAATACAAAAATTAGCCAGGCATGATAGCAGGTGCCTGTAATCCTAGCTACTCGGGAGGCTGAGGCAGCAGAATCGCTTGAATCCATGAGGCAGAGGTTGCAGTGAGTCGAGACTGCGCCACTGCACTCCAGCCTGGGTGACAAGAACATGACTCTGTCTCAAAAACAAAAACCCACAACAAAACAAAACAAAACAAAAACTGCTAGTGTCCTAGTGCAAGTTATCTTAATCTATTTCTCCATTTACTCATCTATAAGGTGAAAGTAACAAATTTATCAAGCTCATAGGGCTATCACGAGGATTAAATGATATATCAAGTTTTTAGAACAAAGTCTAACACATGGTGAGCTCTCAGTAAATGTTAGCTATTTGTGCAGAATAAACATTCTGGCAGAATTTAAAGTATTTATAATGTTCTAAGAACCCTGTTAGGTACTGAGAATACAAACATTGGGATATATCTCTAACCTTGAAGGAATTTAAAATCAAGTGAAAGTCACATTCATAATATATTACATATTAGAACCAACTATACTGGCCAGAAGAAAATGGGAATAGGGCCATAAGAACAATGTGAACAAAGCGCCTAGAGGGTAAGAAATGACCATGGTTTAATGTGATGGGGTATTTCATAGGAAAGTTACAGAAAAAAAGGATCTTCAAGCTAAATCTTGAAATCCAGCAGGATTCACCATATCCTAACGAAAGGGAGAGAAGCCTGAATTCCAGGCAAAAGAAACAACAAAGTACATAGGCAGCAGAATAGCATAAGCCCTGGAGTAGAGGCACACATCCTTCAACAGTGTGTAACTTCCATCTTTTTTTTTTTTTTTTTTTTTTGAGACGGAGTCTCGCTCTGTCGCCCAGGCTGGAGTGCAGTGGAGCAATCTCAGCTCACGCAAGCTCCGCCTCCTGGGTTCACGTCATTCTCCTGTCTCAGCCTCCCAAGCAGCTGGGACTACAGGTGCCCGCCACCACGCCCAGCTAATGTTTTGTATTTTTAGTAGAGACGGGGTTTCATCGTGTTAGCTGGGATGGTCTCGATCTCCTGACACATCGTGATCCACCCGCCTCAGCCTCCCAAAGTGCTGGAGTTACAGGCGTGAGCCACTGCGCCCGGCCACTTCCATCTTTTTATAATTGTGTAAACCCAATGTTTCACCAATAAATAACTGCTGTATCTTTCAATAGTATGAGTTTTGCTTTTAGTTTTCTAACGTCAATGGCAGGTGTTAGACAGCCTAAGACACTAGGCTAGAATTGGGTAACTATTGTGTTATATGACTTAGGGAAATTTAAACTAATGCAACATAAAATAATAAACAACCAAACTTACATAAAAGCCTATTTTAAAAACTACAGTTCAATCCTAAGATTAACTATGTAAAGAATAATTTGTTAAGTTATCAAAGTATTATCCCCTATCAATTTTAATTTGGTATCACAGACTTAATATGTTTATGTAGTCACAAAACCAAAGTATAGCAGAATAAATGACTCCCAAGCCATCCATTTTTATTTTACCTTCCAAAGTCAAATAGGAAGGAATTCTATGCTCCAGAGACATCTTAGCCAAACAACATCTACTGCCAAACAACGGGGGGAAAAAAATCAAGAAATGAATTATTCTGAGAGATCTACAGTTAAACTTCTCTTTGCAGCTCTCCACTCCCCCCAAAAAAATACCCCCTACCCCACACACACATCCCTCTAATGCTGCTCTATAATATATTTTTTCTCATGGGAAGTAAGTGGGATTAATAGTTTATGACTACTGTCTCTTATACTGAACTTATGCTAAGGTTTATCCTCACCTTATCCTTAGTTAAAACTTACATATTGCAACCAGTGAAAATTTACACTTAGTAAATTTTACAGAAGTTCCTGTGGAAATTTCCCAATTCCAAAGTATGCTAACTTATAGTTTAATGTTTCTAGTAAAAATGAGAAGAGCCTAAACACAGACCCACCTTCAAATAAAGTATTCCACTTATGACTGGACCTTCCTACTGGCAATCATTTCTGCCTCAAAGGAAGCAATAAAAAGGGAGCCAGCCACCATCTTATCTTGTAGTAATTCCCTGGGAAGAGGGTAAACCCATGTGCTCACTCCAACAAAGAGAAGATTATTCGATCTCCTCAAGTGTTAGAAAAAAATGAAGAAATCTAAAGAGCAGAAGGCTAAAGCCATGTAGGAAATATACCAAATGTTGTTTAACAGTATTTGTGGTACAGAAAAAAGGCACAAAGTAATAACCAAGTGGTCAAAGTATCTTGGTATTCCAGAATTTCTGCCTTTTCGAAGAATTAAGTTAAGCTAAATCAAAAGAATAAAGTCACACCTGAGTTGAGCATAATTAAGACATCAGTGTAAGTGGGATGGGAAGACAATAGATGGATCTCTGAGGAGAAGATGCAATAAAAGTTTGACTAGCTTCTACAGATTTCGCTGCTTCAATTTTTAAAATAGTGAATACTTATGTTACTGTGATCCAAGCTGTTAGTCCTCAGTCCCTAAATTATTCACCATATATGTGAAAAGACTTTACAAGTCATACAAGCAAATTTAAAATGTAATTAATCTATTCATATTTACTTTTTTTGTAAAGGAAATTGTGAGAAGTAAATATGGAGAGGAAAAGTTATTTAAAGATTATTCATGTCCACTGCCCAACAATCGCTTCAGTGGAGAATGACATGCTGACAGGTACCTCAATCATTTCACTGCAAAGAACACTTACCTTCCTTGACATTGTGTTACAAAACTAAAAGCAGCTTTGGCCATAAATTTGGCAGTGTAGTGATTCCTTGTGACCAAACTGGTCAACCATGCCTTAAGATTTCAGAAGCTAAAAAATATTCTTAAACAGTAGGCTTAGCCTGGGCAACATGATGAAACCCCATTTCTACTAAAAAAATACAAAAATTAGCTGGGCATGGTGGTACATGCCTGTAGTCCCAGCTACTTGGGAGGCTGAGGCAGGAGGATCAACTGAGCCTGGGAGGTCAAGACTGCAGTAACTGCATCACTGCCCTAAAGCCTGGGTGATGGCGAGACTTTATCTCAGAGACAAAACAAAACAAAATACAGTAGTCTCTCAACTTGCGTCAAGTCAAACATATGTATACTTTTAAATTATTAGAAAATGTTGGCCGGGCACGGTGGTTCACACCTGTAATCCCAGCACTTTGGGAGGCCGAGGCAGGCAGATCACGAGGTCAGGAGATCAAGACCATCCTGGCTAACACAGTGAAACCCCGTCTCTACTAAAAATGCAAAAAATTAGCCGGGTGTGGCGGCGGGAGCCTGTAGTCCCAGCTACTCGGGAAGGCTGAGGCAGGAGAACAGCGTGAACCCAGGAGGTGGAGCCTGCACTGAGCCGAGATCGCACCACTGCACTCCAGCCTGGGCAACTGAGTGAGACTCTGTCTCAAAAAAAAAAAAAACAAAAAACAAAACAAAAAAAAAAAACAGAAAATATTTAAAATTTATCAACAGTCTTTTTTGTTTGTTTTGTTTTTTTTGAGACAGACTCTCGCTCTGTCACCCAGGCTGGGGTGCAGTGGCGCGATCTCGGCTCACTGCAAGCTCCACCTCCCGGGTTCACACCATTCTCCTGCCTCAGCTTCCCGAGTAGCTGGGACCACAGGCGCCCACCACCACGCTCGGTTAATTTTTTGTATTTTTAGTAGAGACAAGGTTTCACTGTGTTAGCCAGGATGGTCTCTATTTCCTGACATCGTGATCCACCCACCTCGGCCTCCCAAAGTGCTGGGATCACAGGTGTGAGCCACCGCCCCTGGCCAACAGTTTTAACATGTATACATGTACAGTATAAATAATAATAAAATGAGCCCCTGGGTATCCTCTACCCCAGGTAAATAAACTGTTCTTTATTAAAACATTCCTTGGCTTCTCGGCAAGGAATCCCTCTGAACAAGTACATTTCTTTCTTTGCATTTCATTCTTACCCTTCAAAGGCCTAATCTAAGTTTCACTTCCTCTTGTAATTACTAAAGTTCCCAAGGATTTTTCTTTTCTCTGAACTACTGAACTTTCAGAGAACCACACTGTCAAACTCTCATCTGTTAAATTATTAGATGTATAAAACTGTTCCTCAAATGGATTTTAAGATTCTTTCAGTCTGGGAGCACCTTTTAAATTTCATAGCACGTATGTCAATAACTAGTGCAGTAACTAGTGTTTGATACCACACCGCATATTGAAGCAACAGAAAATTTTTAAAAATCTAAAATCAGCAAACTAGCCAAATAACTGTATGCCTAAATATAGTAAAAACGGTAAAAGTTACCTTATATATATTTTACTACAACTAAAAAATCAGCAAGCTGGTATCTTGATACTTTCAATTAGGTGAGTAGTAGATATTTTTCCTTTTCTTCTTTTTACATGTTATTTGCCAGGAGATATTTTCTTATTTTCTTAACTTTAAAAAAAATGTCCTTTTTTTCCTTCTCCCACTCTGGATTCTGTTCCTTTATTCTGAAGTGGCAGCATTCCCAATATATGTCAAGAGCAAGCAACTCAAGTGCTACAGGCAATGTTCTGGCATCAATAGCCAAGCTAAAACTCACAGGATATTGTTTTTTAAAGAACCTTGGTAAGTATTAGTCTCACATTTTACCCAAATTTCTAATCCAAATAGACATTGTTTTGCAAAATCCTAACTGTATTTACATACTTGTGAGAAAAGCTTTTAGACTTCTCATCTTTTCACTGCTTAATCAAGTGGGGACAGTGTAACAGCAGCCAAAGGTGAGAACCAAGTTCAGTTAGCATTTATATTGATAAGCTTCATTTACAAAATGTTACTTAACAGTTAAGTGTAAGATGGATTTCAGAACAGGAAAGTGAAGGCAAAGCTCACTCTACATTCCACAAAAAGAATCTTTAGCACTGTAACACATCTGCCAAAAAAAATTCACCACAACTTTGAGAAACCCTTCTTTTGGTCAGTTGGGAACCAAATTACAAATTCTAATTTGCAACACCAGAAGCAGTCATGGGCCAACACTGGCAGCAGGACATGAGAAAGATCCAAAGACTGGTTAAGCCAATGCTCTCTAGACAATGTACAAAATGATCCATCACAGTATAAACATTATTAGCAGTTCTATTTCTATCTTAAAACATTATGTTTGCTAATATTTAACATATAGAGTTGACATTAACACCCTGAGTCTGTTAGATGGCTGCATGTCACTAATAGGCATACATGAGAGGCTAACTCAGAAAGCACTGACAATGTGATGGGTATTTGTGATAATTAAGTGAATTTGCAGGTAATATCATCTAGTTTTAACCAAACAAGCCCTCATCAAACGGGCAAAGTAATTTTAAAAGATTCTTGCAAAAGAAATTACAACTGAAGACAACTCTAATAAGCATAAAGGGGGGAAAAGTGTAAGTCAGAGTTACTCTCACTCAATGAGATAAAAAGGAAAATTAGAGCTACAAGAGGGTTATCCAACAAAAATGCAAATTTATCAAGAATACGTTTATGTTCTCTACCAATAAGAAAAAAGAATGAACCTTACCCTAAGTGTAAAGTGCCCATTATTGCCCTGTTAGCTAAAAATGGTGTGTACTTAATTTTTAAATAAACAAATAAATACAGGCTGAGCATGGAGACTCATGCTTACAGTCCCAGCGCTCAGGGAAGCCTCGACGGAGCACCACTTGAGGCCAGGAGCTCAAGACAACCCTGAGCAACACAGCAAGGTCCTATCTCTACAAAAAATAATTTTTTTCTTGAGATGGGGTCTTACTCTGTCACCCAGGCTGGAGTGCAGTGCCATTATCTTGGCTCACTGCAACCTCTGTCTCCTAGGCTCAAGCAATTCTCCCACCTCAGCTTCCCAAGTAGCTGGGACCACAGGCATGTGCCACTACATCTGGCTAATGTTCTGCATTTTTTGGTAAAAACAGGGTTTCACCAGGTTGTCCAGGCTGGTCTTGGAACTCCTGAGCTCAGGAGATTCACCCACCTCAGCCCCCCAAGGTACTGGGATTACAGGCATGAGCCACCATGCCTAGCCAAAAAATAAAATTTGAAAAAATCTAGCGAGGCATGGTGGCACACACCTGTAGTCTTAGCTACTCCAGAGGCTGAGGCAGAGGCTATAGATCACTTGAGCCCAGGAGTTAGTTCAAGGTTACAGTGAGTTAGGATCATGCCACTGCACTCCAGCCTAGGCAACAGAGTGAGACCGTGTCTCTTAAAAAGAAAAATATTTATGTATAAACAAAATCAGCTGGTCCAAGTATAGCAGTTAATTACAGCTAACTGATCACAGTTAGATTTCTTTGTTCCCTCCCACTCACACTGCTTCACTTGACTAGTCCCCCAACCCCTAAAAAAACCTCTTTTACTGACAGAATATCCCCATAATAGGACTTTTAGAAATCCTGCTTATCTATAAGAAAACTCACATCATGTTAATATACAGATAACTTTAATATAAATGTCATAGTCCTCCACACTATCAACCAAACTTTTCACATACTCCTCCCTAAGTTTGCACTTCCCTGTCTCCTTGAAGTTAGGGGAGACTGTGTGATTTGCCCTGATCAATGAAATGTGAACCACATGTCATTTATAATTAGAAACTTAAAAGCCAGAGTGATGTGCTATGCTATTCCTCCTTTCATGACAGTGACTGATGCTGCTCCAGGTGGTGGTGGCTCCATCTGCCTGGCTGCCAGAGTGAGGATGAGGTAGCCTGTGACTGAATGACAGCCTGAATGAGAAATGAATGGTTGTTTTAAGCAACTGAGGTTTTGGGGTTTGTTACCACCACAGCTTAACCTAGCCTATCCAGATTAAGGTAGCATGTGGTAATTTTGATAAAGAACACAGGAGCTCTAAGAAAAGAATATTACCTTCTCATTCTGTATCTATTCAGTATTGTTAAAGAGAATGAAATTTTATAAAAACCATTACTTCTTCACTCTATGATTGATAACTTTCAAGTGTGCCTAAATAACTAAACACGCTTCTGGCTATGTTGTATAGTTCCTTTCTAAAGGATTTAAACTTTTACATAATCTTTTAAACAGAAATTGGTTTTTGGTTTATTCACAGAAGCTTACCACTAAGTAATTCAATCCAGTTCTGGACCGTTTCTGGAGGCTGAGTTTCCTTAACATGCTTCAGAGCTTCATCAAGAAGAACATCCCCTGTTGGAGCATCCGACTTACAGATTACCTAAAAAGAAAGCAAAAAGAATGAAAAGATGCACTGATGCCTTTTCTGACTTGATCTCATTAAATGAAAACTAAACAATTATATAAATAATTCATTACGCTTAAAGCCTCAAGCATTCATGTAATATCAAAGTTCAGATTTTAAAGTACTTTTATGTTAAGGAAATCCAATACTTAACCTAACCAGATTAGACATAATAATGAATGAAAACTGGCTGGACTCAGTAGCTCATGCCTGAATCCCAGGGGGAGGCTGAGGCAAGCGGATCACTTGAAGCCAGGAGTTCAATACCAGCCTGGCCCCACATGGCGAAACTCTGTCTCTACTAAAAATACAAAAATTAGCCAGGTGTGGTGGTGCACACCTGTAATCCCAGCTACTCGGGTAGCTGAGGTGGGAGAGTCATTCGAACCCAGGAGGCAGAGGTTGCAGTAAGCCAAGATCACGCCACTGTACTCCAGCCTGGATGACAGAGTGAGACTCTGTCTCAAAGGGAAAAGAAAAGAAAGCTACTAGCCGGGCATGGTGGCTCATTCCTGTAATCCAAGCACTTTGGGAGGCCAAGGCAAGTGGATCTCCTGAGGTCAGGAGTTCAAGACCAGCCTGGCCAAAATGATGAAACCCATCTCTACTAAAAACACAAAAAATTAGCTGGGCATGGTGGTGGGTACCTTAATCCCAGCTACTATGGAGGTTGAGGTAGGAGAATTGCTTGAACCCAGGAGGCGGAGGTTGCAGTGGGCCGAGATCGTGCCACTGCACTCTAGCCTGGGCAACAAGAGGAAAACTCCGTCCCCTGCCCTCCCGAAAAAAAAAAAACAACTACTGTGCAATACTTAGTAAAGCAACATGCTAGGACAGTTTATACTCACTGACTCTTTTCATCAGTGAACCTTGGACTATGTGATCCAGAAATTCATTTAAGCATTATTATTAGTTCCAAAAATAAGACTAAATTATAATTAAGAATTCAGTACAGGTTGAACATCCCTAATTTGAAAATCCAAACTCCTTCAAAATCTGAAACTTTTTGAGCACCAACATGCATCCATTGGAACATTCTGGATTTTAAATTTTCAGGTCAGGAATGCTTAAGTATAATAAAATATTCCAAAATCCAAAAAATTCCAAAATCTTAAACATTTCTGTTCTCAAGCATTTCAGACATAGGGTATTCAACCTTATATTATAAAGGTGGTATTTCACATCAGTGAAGAAACGAATTTTTAAATAAATGTCATTAAAACTGGCTAACAAATTAGGAGCAAAAATTAAGACTTGGCTCTTCTGAGCTTATATTGCAATAAAAGATAAAGATTTAAATAGGAAATATAATTTGAGAGGTAAGAAAGGTTTCTTGGTTCCTTTTTTTTGGAAACGGAGTTTTGCTCTTGTCACACAGGCTGGAGTACAGTGGTGCAGTCTCGGCTCGCTGCAAACCTCCACCTCCCCAGTACAGGCGATTCTGCTGCCTCAGCCTCCCGAGTAGCTGGAATAATAGGCATGCACCACCACGCCTGGCTAATTTTGTATTTTTAGTAGGGACGGGATTTCTCCAAGTTGGTTAGGCTGGTCTCGAACTCCCAACCTCAGGTAATCCACCTACCTCGGCCGCCCAAAGTGTTGGGATTACAGGCATGAGCCACTGCACCTGGTCCTGAAAGGTTTCTTTAAAAATTGTCCCCACTAGCAGAAAGCTTAAAGAAATTATCAATAGCTTTGATTACATAAATTTTTTAAATACTGCAACTTTTTTTTAAAAAGCTACGCTGAGGCTGGGGGCGGTGGTTCACTTCTATAATCCCAGCACTTTGGGAGGCCAAGGTGGGTGGATCACCTGAGGTCAGGAGTTCGAGACCAGCCTGGCCAACATGGTGAAACCTGGTCTCAACTAATAATACAAAAATTAGCCAGGCGTGGTAGCACACACCTGTAAACCCAGCTACTCGGGAGGCTGAGGCAGGAGAATCGCTTGAACCCGGGAGGTGGAGGTTGCAGTGACCCAAGATTGCACCATTGCACTCCAGCCTGGGTGACAAGAACAAAACTCTGTTTCTAAAAAAAAGCTACATTGAGATATAGAATCCATTTTAAAAGTGGAAAAATCCAGAGGGAGGGATGGAAGGGAAAATGTTACACTGCTTTAGACAAGTATTAGATCCCTATAGCCTTCATTCACGTTGTTGGCTAAGCTATAAATTTCTAGATAAAATTCCACAATATCAAAATTAAATCCATTGTATTATTTTATAATGTTAGCTCTTTAAATGTTATAAAATTTAACATTACTTTTTTTTTTTTTTTGAGATGGAGTCTCGCTCTGTTGCCCAGCCTAGAGTGCAATGGTGCGATCTCAGCTCACTGGAACCTCCATCTCCTGGGTTCAAGCAATTATCCTGCCTCAGACTCCCAAATAGCTGGGATTACAGGCGCACACCAACACACCCGGCTAATTTTTGTATTTTTAGTAATATTTTGTATTTAGTAGAGAGTTTCATCAAGTTGGCCAGGCTGGTCTTGAACTCCTGACCTTGTGATCTGCCCACCTCGTCCTCCCAAAGTGCTGGAATTACAGGCATGAGCCACCGTGCGCAGCCAATTTAACGTTACTTTTAAAATGTGATAGTCCTCTCTTAAACTTGTCCTCAAAGTGTCCTTTACTTTGTCAATTTATAAAAAATTAAAATATACATACAGTATCTACCTCTGTGACATCATGACCAGTCGAAATATAAAAACACAATACAAGCCACAAATCTATTCTTAAATTTTCTAGTAGTTATATTTTAGAAGGAAAAAAAGGCAAAATTAATTTTAATATTTTGATTTAACCAAATACAACCAAAATATTAACATACAATAAGTATTTTTAAATTGAGGTATTTAATATATTTTTCCATACCAAAACCAAAAATCCAGTGTATTCAGTGTATGTTTTTATTAACACCATATGTCAATGTGCAGTAGTCAAATTTCAAGTGCTTAAGTGTCTGGCTCATAGATGTATGTAGCTAGCAGCTACCATATTGAACATACAGACCATTTTCATCATCAAACAAAGTTCTATCAAACAGTGCTATTCTAGACCACGCTTTCAGTAAAGGGTGAGAGAGCACAAGAAAATAAAGCAGAGCCTCAAGAGAAAAAGTTACATCTAAATATTGTGGCCATGCCACCACTTCTTACATCCCACTCATTCCTTTTATTTATTGCAATTTGGCCTCAGAGCTTGCCCACGCACATCCGTTTGCAACGGATCTTATGTCAGGGACGCCATAGCCTGGGTACAGGTGAATCACTTTTTCTTATGAAGTTCTGTCCCCTAAATCTCCCTCAAATATATCACTTTTTTTCCATCACCTTGCCATTATAGTCAGCCTTCCGTATCTACAGATGCTACCAACTGAGGATCAAAAATATTCAGGAAAAATAATACAAATTTAAAAACACAGTGTAACAATTGTTTACACAGCATTTACATTGTATTAGGTATTGTAAGTCATCTGGGGATGATATAAAGTATAGGAGAGGATGTGCATAGGTTATATGCACACACTACAAAATTTTACATGAGAAACTTGAGCATCCACAGATTTTGATATTTGAGGGGAGTCCTAGAACCAATTGCCCACAGATACTGAGGGACAACTATATTCTGGTCCGCCTAATCAGGTTGTTTTTCACTTGGATTAAGATAAGCCTCTTAACTAATTTCCCTAAACTAGTTTTAGCCTTTTCAATCCATTCTCCTCACTGATCTTTCTAACAGGGAAATCTTACCATGGCATTCCACTGCTTCTGCTTACAACTTGTCAGTGACTCGAGTTAGTTCTAAATTTCTTTTAAAAATTCAGTAGTAGGTGTGGTTCACAAATAAACATGTTCTATTCAAACATGTAATTTTTATTTAGCTTCTTTTTTTGGGGGGACGGGAGACATTCCTAAATATAAATAGATAATCAAGGATAACATGTGAAAGAAAGCTTCCAACACAGAAGAGACCAAAAAGAGAAAACAAGAACTCTGAAGAAACAGATATAATACAGACGAAGGAAATTTTCAAAAAACGTGTGATATCCCCAGAAGTCTAAAAGAAGGTATTACACCCATAAAACAAACTACGATTTTTTAAAAAGGAAGTTTATGGAAATCAAAAACACAAGAGCCACAATAAAATCTCAACAGAAAGGTTAGAAGACAACTCTTTAAGAGTAGCCAAGGTAGTCCCAGCTACTCGGGAGGCTGAGGCAGGAGAATGGTGTGAACCTGGAAGGCGGAGCTTGCAGTGAGCCAAGATCGTGCCACTGCGCTCCAGCCTGGGCTACAGAGCGAGACTCCGTCTCAAAAAAAAAAAAAAAATAGTAGTCAAGAAGTCCATATCCAATTTAGAGTTCTAGAAAAATAGAGGGCAAAAGACATGAGAAATACAAGTTTTCAAAACCAAAATATACACATTTCCAGACTGAAAAAATTAATGCATAATAAATTTAAAATGACCCACATTAAAGCACATCGTACAATTTCAGAACACCTACAAGGATAACAGAAGAGTCCAAATGCTTCTAGAGGAAAAAAAATAACAATAAGATTGAAAAATCAGAAGGAGCCCTGGCACACTGGCTCACACCCGTAATCCCAGCTCTTTGCGAGACCAAGGCATGAGGATCACTTGAACCCAAGCGTTCAAGACCAGCCTGGACAATAAAGCAAGACCTTATCTCTTTAACAAAAATGTTTTTAAAAAAATTAGCCCGGAGGCTGGGCGCGGTGGCTCACGCCTGTAATCTCAGCACTTTGGGAGGCAGGTGGATCATTTGAGGTCAAGAGTTCGAGACCAGCCTGACCAATATGGTGAAACCTCATCTCTACTAAAAATACAAAAAAAAAAAAAAATTGGCCGGGTGTGGTGGTGCATGCCTGTAGTCCCAGCTACTAGGGAGGCTGGAGCAGGAGAATCGCTTGAATCCGGGAGGCGGAGATTGCAGTGAGCTGAGATGGCACCAACTGCACTCTGGCCTGGGTGACAGAGCGACACTTGGTGTCAAAAAAAAAAAAAATTAGCCAGGCATGATGGCACATACCTATGTAGTCCCAGCTACTTGGAAGGCAGAGGTTGCAGTGAACCAAGATCATACCAACTACCCTCCAGCCCGGGAAATGGTGTGAGACACTGTATCCAAAAAAAAAAAAAAAAAAAGGGAAAAGAAAATCAGAAGGGCACCAGATTCGAATAGCAACTCTATATACTAGAAAACAATGGGCTGGGCATGGTAGCTCACACTTGCAATCCTAGTACTTTGGGAGGCCCATGGCGAGCAGACCACTTGAGCCCAGGAATTTGAGAGCAGCCCAGGCAACATGGCGAAACCCTCTACAAAACATACAAAAATTAGCTGGGTGTGGCAACAGACGCCTGTAGTCCCAGCTACTTGGGAGGCTGAGACAAGAAAATCACTTGAACCAGGGAAGCGGGGGTTGCAGTAAGCTGAGATCACGCCACTGCACTCCAGCCTGGGTGACAGAGCAAGACTCTGTCTCCCAAAAAAAAAAAAAAAAAAAAAAAATGCATGAATGGTGTTCTTCCCTACAGAACTATTATTCTCTATAGCTTATCAATCAAGAAGTGTTCAGCTCTGACCTAAAACTTTTAGATTCATTAGGACACTGATTGAGGAAAAAAACCAGTTTTGAAACACCATGCTCAAGAAACACAATGACAAACCGGAAGAAAATCAGTCTTGAATATTTAAGATTGAGGTTTAAGTTAAATTACCTCTATTATACCAGAGAAGCACCTACACAGACCTTCACAGACAGGTATCTGAAAAGTACTCATAATCTGATGAAAAGATCAATAGCCTATGCATAAATTGCACAGTAACACTTTTGAGTTTTTAATGTCAAATCTTTCAAAACCATGGCTTTTAAAAGCAGCAAATGAAGTCTAAAATCTTTCTGAAGATGTAAGATCCAGTGGCCAATTACCTTAATAATGAATTACATTACTCATTGTAGGTAACCAAGAATGCAAAAAAGATATGGAAATACAATTGAATAAAGACAACTTTAATATCAACTTCCACTTTCATCTTTGAAAGCTATTAGTAAAAGCATACATTTTAAGTAGTACAACCTCTTTAAAAAGAAAGTTACTCAGCACTCCTCTTACCTTTCTTGTTAATAGACTTTTACGTCTCATTCCACAAGCCTCTAGTTGTAACCTTCCTCTCAATGCTAATTCAATTAACATACAGCCACGTAATCCAGATGATATACAGTCATTCCAAAATGATGTGTAACCCTGTTAAAAAAAGAAGAAATAAAACAAAATAGCTAATTTACCTTGAATTCACAGTCAAAAACAAATATTCTCAGCCAAAGTCCTATTTGGTGCCTTTTACCTTTCTTGTATTTCTATAATAACATACTGAAAAAACACAATTAACATAAATTATTAATTGATAATTTTCAGGGGCTTATCTTTCTACCATTTATTCTTATATACAAATAACAAATAACTTTAGAGGTCAAAAGTTTAGAAATATAACTCACATTTCACTAAGCTGTGTTTATTAGGTTCTTTCAGAACCCTGCAAACTCCAAGGAATACTCAGTTAATCTCCGATTATAGTGATTTATTATATGTGGACAAGTTAAGCAGCTCAGGGAAAGGCAACCTAGCCAATTTAGCTTCACCGAGAATCAGAATACCATCCATTTATTGCTGTTTAGGATAAAACCACAAGGTTAATCCGAGTGCTTTGGGAGGCAGAGCCAAGACGATGGCTTGAGCCCAGGAGTTTGAGACCAGCCTGGACAACATAGTGAGATCCTGTTTCTATCCAAAAAAAATCAATTAGCCAGGTATGGTGGTACACACCTGTAGTCCCAGCTACTAAGGAGGCTAAGGCAGGAGGACCACTGTGTCCAAGAGTTCAAGGCTACAGTGAGCAATGATTACACTGACACACTGCAGCCTGGGCGAAACTGTGAGACATTGTGTCTTAAATACACACACTGTTAATTCTGTAAGAATATATTAGAAAAACACATATGGGCCCACAAACAAACGGATGGCTATATGCCTAAAATTCTGAATAATAAACAGTATAACAATCAGATCGACCCCAAGAGACAATGTAAGGGCAGCATCCATGGCGGAAGAACAGCCAGACATAAGGAGGTTGATAGACATCTAGAGATACGGGATACTGGTCAAGCAGACATCACCAGATGAGGTCAGGGCACTGTAACAGCAAATAACTGGAGTTGTTCAAATTATAAAGCCACAAATCTTGGCAGGAGGGTTGCCAGCTATCAATTTAACATACCCAGTTCTCATGAGACAGCAGAAGCTATAAATAATTCTCATTAAGGCTCAGAACAGGTAACATAATTTTGGTAGAACAGGCCAACTGAATCTCTGAAGAATGGAGGGCCCAGGATTAGGAAGGCCTGGCCCTCACCTCTGGCACTTTTCCAAGGTCAATCCTGGCAGTTTGCCAGGCCAGAGTAGTGAGCTTGTATTTCAGAAGATGACCAGTGAGGTCCATCAAACTTCATTTTTGATACAAGGAGTTAAATTCACCTCACTAAGCCACCACTTCTGAGAATGTGACCTTTGGAAAAATAACAATTTAGATTAAAGGAGGCACAAGGGGATAAACAAAAACATGAGTGTTAAGAGATCAATTTAAATGCGAGGTAGAAGCAGCAGACACTGACTGGATTTTAGGGAATCATTTTAAAATTAGTGTTGGGGCCTGATCAAATGAAGATCAGCAGAGATTTAGCAAAGTGGCTAATAATACCAGTAGTTTATAGAAGTTAGGTAAAATGCATGGCTTCTGTGTCCATGAAATTAAAGCCCTACGAAGCCTGAGAATGAATTCCACATGAAATTAAAGTTACAGATATCTGGCTGTGACTGGCCGGGACATGTAGACAGAGTTCCTAAGTGAGCCTCTACAAACTGTAAACAACAAAGAACACCTCATAAAGCAATAATGGACGTGAACAGCCCTATAGCCTGCAAACTCCAGCTGAACAGTACCTGGAAGCAGAGAACTAAAATATGTCTCAATCTCAAATGCTCCTTTAATGGCATACCCAGAGATATTAGCAAAATGGGGTCTTTAATAACAGACTTCAGAGATCTAAATTTAGTGAATGGCTTTAGGCATCATCACTGAAAGACACAGGCTTAAACAGAATTGGATTCACATGGGAAAGTAGAAGAATGGGAATGGACAGTTCTGTACCACAGCTTCTGGGACTCGTCAGCAATATTCCAAACATAAATGAAGCCAACAAAGACACACCAAGCAACAGAAAAGTCTAGTATGTTGACACCCTCCTGCTAAAATCCACGTTGCAAAAGCAGGATCAAAAATTAACCAGAATGTGGCCAGGCACACAGTGACATACACCTGTAATCCCAGCACTTTGGGAGGCAGAGGCAGGTGGATTGCTTGAGCCCAGGAGTTCCAGACCAACCTGGACAACATGGTGAAACCTCGTCTCTACAAAAAAATACAAAAATTAGTCAGGCATGGTGGCACCCTACTGTGGTCCCAGCTACTTGGAAGGCTGAGGTGGGAGAATCACCTGAGTTCAGGAAGTTGAGGCTGCAGTAAGCCATGATCATGACACTGCACTCCAGTCTGGATGACAGGAGTGAGACCCTATCTCAAAAAAAAAAAAAAAAAAAGGATAAAATACGTGGGGAAGGTTAGTAACTGGCAGTATCAAACAGCTTATGATTGTAGTCATAATTAGTTCCCATGTTCTAAAATATAAGGTTGGGAGAGGGCAGAGACATCCCAAGTAGGGCTGGGCCATATACTACCAGATCTCCATCTGCCTGACTCCCTTTATTCTTTTAAGTGGCTCAATTTGAATGGTAGAAAAGGGTATTGTTTATTAAGTCCCCTAAAACTGCAAACACTGAGAAGAGTTCTCACCATTCGAGTTAAAAGATACTGTTCTGCTCTTAAGTGCCTACTTACCCAGAAGCTTTTTGTTAAGAAGGAACTCATTTTGGTGACCCAAAATGAAATGTAATAAAAATATTTTGTAAAAAGATCGTAAGAGGGATATAAACAGAAGTAGAAGACCTTCCTTATATGTTATTAAAAACATTTACAACATGGGAAAATGCTCACAATATATATTCTACATAAGAAACAGATAAAAAATTATATTATCTAAAGCAGAAATGTCCACTCTTTTGGCTTCCCTGGGCCATATTGGAAGAATTATTATCTTGGCCCACACATAAAATATACTAACACTAATGACAGCTAATGAGCTAAAGAAAACAACAACAAAAAAAACTCATGTTTTAAGAAAGTTGACAAATTTGTGTTGGACCAGATTCAAAGTCGTGGGCCACCTGTGGCCGACAAGCTTGATCTAAAGTGTAGTCTTATTTTGAAATTATATAAATACTAATACATATGTATATCATAGGTTTGTATTTACAAAAACTTATAAATGTTCATATCCTTTGACACAATTCTTATGGGTCTTTAGTTAGAAAATACTGTGCACAAAAATATATGTACAAATATACTGATCACATCATTATCACAAAACACAAAAACAATCTAAAAACAAAACAAAATCTAAAAACACAGAAACAATCTAAAAGCAAAAAAAAAAAAAGGGAATAAACTCAGCGTTTCCCAAACTTTCCTGACGTTCAAGCATTTTAATTTACAGTATACTTTTAACAGCCTACAGAATATTTCAATTCTATGAAAATCAGTTTTAAAAATCCTGGTGCCGGAGGCAGAGCTTGCAGTGAGCCGAGATGGCGCCAATGCACTCCAGCCTGGGCGACAAAGCAAGACTCCGTCTCAAAAAACAAAAACAAAAAAACAAAATACAAAATTATCTGGGCGTGGTGGCGCATTCCTGTAATCCCAGCTACAACGGAGGCTGAGGCAGGAGAAGTGCTTGAACCCAGGAGGCAGAGGTTGCAGTAAGCTGAGATTGCATCATTGCACCCCAGCCTGGGGAACAAGAAACTGCATCTCAAAAAAATGAAAACATGAAAAAAAGAAAGGTGACTGTACTTGCCAAATCTAACTGGACCAGGATGAACAAATTAAGTCTCCCTCCTGAGTATCTGAACTTGCCATACTGAATCAGTTACATGGGCATGCACTGGCGCTGTACTGGTTGTGTGGATTCAGAAGCTACTGGCCATTGGGTACAAATGCAAAGAATGAAGGTAACAGAAAGGAAAACAAGATATATGCAGAGTAGAAATGAGAGAGGATGCAATGTGAGGCAAACCAAGACATACAGAGAGGCAGAAAGACAGGCACATACACAGAACAGCATGTTTGTTGTTTTAAGCTGCTATGTTTTGTTACGCAGTAAGATAATTAACATAGTGGGTGCCCAGGGCTGGCAAAATGGGAAAAGGGGGAGGTAATGGCTAAAGGGTATGAGCTTTCTTTTGGAAGTGATAAAAATATTCTAAAATTGATTATGGTGATGGTTGTACAAATCTGTAAATACATTAAAAACCTTGAATTGTACACTTCAAATGACTGAATTGTATGGCATATGAATTATATCTCAGAGCTGTTACAAAAAAAAAATTCTATAAAGTCACTTCTGAAATCTTACATGAAATTTGGATTGTGTCAATAATTAAGACTCAAAAAGTTCTTGACAAAAATAACTAATCAAGAGAATGAAGGTGACTTCAGGTAAAAGCAGATTAAAAAGACTAGACAATTGGCTGGGCACGGTGGCTCACGTCTGTAATCCCAGCACTTTGGGAGGCCGCCCGAGGCGGGCACATCACGAGGTCAGGAGATCAAGACCATCCTGGCTAACATGGTGAAACCCTGTCTCCACTAAAAATACAAAAAAATTAGCCAGGTGTAGTGGCGTGTGCCTGTAGTCCCAGCTACTCTGGAGCAGCCACTACGCTCCAGCCTGGGCAACAGAGCAAGACTCCGTCTCCAAAAAAAAAAAAAAAAAAAGACTAGACAAGAAAAAGCATCTAGAGATATAAGAACTGTTAAAGAAGTAGTAAGACTGGGCACTGTGGCTCACTCCTGTAATCTCAGCACTTTGGGAGGCCGAGGTGAGCAGATCACCTGAGCTCTGGAGTTCAAGACCAGCCTGGCCAAGGCAGCAAAACCCCATCTCTACTAAAACTAGAAAAATTAGCCAGGTGTGGTGGCACATGCCTGTAATAGCAGCTACTCAGGAGGCTGAGGCAGGAGAATTGCTAGAAACCAGGAGGCAGAGGCTGCAGTGAGCCACTGCCCTTAAGCCTAG